ATAATAAACAATGAATATTTAATTTTTTTTTTTTGGTACTAGGGATTGAACCCATGGGTGCACATCCACTCAACCACATCCCCAGCCTTATTTTTTGACTTTAATGTTTTTTTTCAGACAGGATCTTGCTAAGTTGCATGGTGTCTCACTAAGTTGCTGAGGTTGGCTTTGAACTCCTGCCTCAGCCTTTTGAGCCACTGGGATTACAGGCATGCACCACTGTGCTAGGCTGAATTCATTTTTATTTCTGTAGACATTGTGACTAAACAGTAAAGAAAATAATCACTGAATACAGGTAACTAGTGTTCTCCCATTGAAAGTTATTACATTTGCCTGATAAGCAATGATTTGTCCCAGATCACTTAAATAATTTATCTCTTTGAAAAGAGGGACCTGGCCTGGGTAGTCTCTTGCGCCTGTATCTGCCCCCAGGTGCTGTATGATTCACTTGTAGTCTTATGAAACAAACAGGAGAAGAAAGGAGAGATAATCTGGGTTATTAGATACTGTTGTGTGCGTCATGACCATCATGACTTCAGAGACAGCTACTGTTTTGTTTTGTTTTTTGAAGATTTTCTGTTTAAGATATATATTAAAGTGGTTTTCTTGTGGAAGCAACACAGGCATGTAAGGATTGAAATATCACAGAAGGACATAATGTGTAAAGTAACATTTCTCTGATTACCACCACCACATACACATATATACACACACATACAAATTGTCCTCAGGCACACCCCCCAAGGAAACCACTGCTAATACGTTGTTGGCAATTATCCCAGACATTAATTATGCATTCCCTATGCATGGGAAAATGCACATACATACAGTTTATTAATATTTTATTAAGAATTTTTGCATTTGTGTTCATCAGAGATATTGTAGTTTTCTTTCCTGCTGTGTATTTATGTGGTTTGAATATCAGCATTATACTGGCTTCCTAGAATCTATTTGGGAGTGTTCCCTCCCATTCTATTTGATGGAATAATTTGAGAAAGACTGGCATTTGTTCTTCTTTAAAGGTGTGGTAAAACTTGGCTGAGAATCTGGTCCTGGGCTTTTCTTTGTTGGAAAAATTTTAATAGTTACTTCAATCTTATTGCTTGATATTGGTCTGCTTAGGTTTTCTATATCATCCTGGTGCAATTTTGGCAGTTCATATGTGTCTAGAAATTTGTCAATATCTTCTAGATTTTTCAGTTTATTGGAGTATAAATTTTTAATAACAGTTTCTAATGATCTCTGGATTTCAGCGGTGTCTGTGGTGATATCTCCTATTTCATCTCTAATTTTGCTGATTTGGGTCTTTTTCTTTTGGTTAATTTGGAAAAGGATTTATCAATTTTGTTTATCTTTTCAAAGAACCAACTCTTTGTTTTATTAATCTGATGTATTATTTCTTTAAATACTCATTATTACTAATTTTGGCTCCAATCTTAATTATTTCCTATCTTCTACTTATTTTGGAATTAATTTGTGTTGTGGTATAGATATGAGATGTCCCTCAAAAGCTCGTGTGTGTCACAATGTAAGAAAGTTTAAAGGTGAAATGACTGGCTTATGAGAGCCTTAACTTAATCAGTGAATTAATCCACTGATATGCATTAACTGAGTAGTAATTGTAGGCAGACAGAGTGTGTCTGAAGGAGGTAAGCTACTGGGGTCAGGCCTTTGGGGCTTATATCTTGTTCCTGGGAGAGCAGAGTCCTCTCTCTGCTTCCTGATTGCCAAGTCTTGAGCTGCTTTCCTCCTTCACACTCGTCTGCCATGATGTTCTGCCTCATCTCTGGCCCAGAGCAGTGGAGTTGGCCATCTTTGGACTAAATCTCTGAAACCATGGTATCCAAATAAATCTTTAAAGTTGTTTTTTTCAGGTCTTTTGGTCACAGTGATGAAAATGTTTACTGAAACAGATTGTCCTTTCCTAGGGTCTTAAGGTGTAGCATTAGATTATTTACTAAGATAGCACAGATAACTAGAGGCATAGCTAGGATAAGAACCCAGGTGACTCAATTCTCAGTCCAGACTTGCATTAAGAAAGTCTTCGCATTTGGAAATATTGGTGAAGGGTGACAATTTTCAACCAAAAGAGTAACTGTAAATGCTATAGTAAACTAAATAGGTTAATTTGCTCCTGAGCATGAAAAATCATTAAAATGAACAATAAAATAACCAAATTTATCTTTGAGAAGACTGTTCAGAAATTATTATAAACTTATAAAGAAATAGTGATAAAATAATAATTCTTAGGAAAATGCTACAGCCTAGTTCATTTGTTTAATCACCACTATTCTACAAAAATTCACAGTAACACTATTTTCAGAGGCTTGAATGCAACTTAAAATTTATTAATATATTTACATAATTTATAGTCTTTAAGCAATGGTTTCATAAATATGGACTGTAAGTTTACACATTCTTATTTTCCCTAAATTAAAAAAAATTGACAGGATTTACATTAATTTCTTTACCCTCTCTTTCTTCTTTCTCATTTTTAAACTTCTGTTAATCCCTTTAGACCATATACAATTCATTTTTTCCAGGAAGCTTCTCTAGGACTATCACAATGATGCCAACAATGTGCTACATACATGACAGGGTTAAAAGCAACCCAGGGTGAGCTAGTGACCACTGCTTTGGTGTTAGCTTTCTGTGTGTAGCTGAGGCTAACATATTCCATGGAAAATGCTTAAGAGACAGCAAAGATGAATCTATCTCCATCTGTCCTAGACATAACCCATTTCAGCTTCAAATGGCAACTGCCATCCCTCTACTTGCAATATCCTAAAATTGCCTCCAACAATGGTAACAGGAAACCAAGGAAATAACAATATCCAGTTTTTTTCCCCTCAATGACCTGAAAGTTCTGGGTGTGGTGGCATTCACCTGTAATCCCCAGCCACTTGGGAGGTTGATGCAAGTTCAAGGCCAGCCTCAGCAAGTTAGCATGACCCTGAATAAAAAAATATGCTGGGGATGCAGCTCAGTAGTTGAATGTCCCTGGTTCAATCCCCTGTATCAAAAATAAATAAATAAATAAATAAATAAATAAGAGAATAACAAAACACACAAGTGCTAACGTTCCCTTTACAAATGAGTAAGACACTACTTTAAAACCCTACCCATTGCAGGAACTGGAATGGACTAATGCATTATTACTTTATATCTTGAAAATACAAATGGTTTACAGAATTATTTTCAATTAATTATGTTAAGCTATACAAATAATTAGGGAAAGGTCAGCATTTATTATGTATCTGGGAGAAAAAAATAACTGTTTAGTTAGCATTTGTTTGTGGAGGGGTGGTTTTATTTCCAAGATTACTCATGATATTGGTTTTTAGAATAGAAAAATATTTGAATGTAAGCTTCAGTTATATCTGCAAACAACATTTATTTGGAATTTTTAAAAATAGTCTTTACAAGAAGAGCAAATTGTCACCTGCTTTGTTGTCAGAGACAGGCATCATTAAAGCCCATTTGAAGCAATTTCAATTCTTCCAGATTGTAAATGTCAGGAACCGAAGTGGGAGGTAAGGACCAAGGCAGCTTTTGAGTCAGCCAATCAGGTCATTTATCAGTTTCTCAAAACTATAGAGAGTGATGTGAATGAGGTTTATGGATTCTGTAACCATTGGACCTTGACTTTCTATGGTTGCAAGTCCTTAATCAATCTGATGGGAAAAAAATGTCCCCCACCCCGCCACGTTCCACTCATCTAGCATTTCACAAAATCATCAACTAGAGTGTAGATGAGACAACTCACTTGGGCCAGCTACCTTACTTCTGTATGTAAAAGGTGGCATATATCTTGTGGAATGGTAAGAGTATTTTTTAATTGTAAGAGTAAAATTCCAAAGTGGATTAAAGAAATGTTTTTTCATAAAGTTAGCTCATGGAAATAAAGCAGGAAAGCAAAATCAGGAAGAATACAGGAAGATAGAAACCTAAGTCTGAGATTAAGTAGCAGTTAATCTAAGCAAGTATTTATCTGTATATGTCAGAGGAGTGGGGGATCGCTTATCAAAAGGAGGAATTTTCTTTCTTTTACTGAAGGAGGAAAACTGACCACTGCTTTCAGCTTTATTCAAAAGAGAACTTCTAAGGATTTGTAGGTAAATGTCATCAGATCATCCAGTCTACCTAAGATACTAGCTCTTTTTGAATCATTTCTTGTTTTCCCTAAACAGCACATTAAGAATTCAATTTTAAGCTGAGTACAGTGGTGCAGCCTATAATCCCAGTGCTCAGGAGACTGAAGCAGGAAGATCTCAAAGTCAGCCTCAGCAATTTAGCCAGGCTCTAAGCAAGACCCTGTCTCAAACTAAACAATGAAAAGGGCTGGAGATGCACATCAGTGGTTAAGTGTCTCTGGGTTTAATCCCTTGTACAAAAAAATAAAGTTCAATTCTGATGATACATGTTATCTTCTAACAGATGAATCTTTATAGAATGAGCCAAGATAAACACATACATGTGTAATTATTAATCACAAGTACTAGAATTAGCTTCCACCACTCCCCCAATTTTCCCAATCACCACCTAAAAAAGAACGAAACTTTTGAAGGTACCTAACTTTGTGGGAAAATCTACTGGCTAGGTCTTTTATCCTCTGCCTAAATGTAGGAAACATGTGCAAGGCACTGGGAAAAAAAAAAAAACTGTTGTTGAGATAGAAGAATTGCTGTATTACTGCCCCAAATCAACAATGCACTCAGAAAAGTTGTGGTCTTTATTTACACAGCATATGAGAGCAACAAGTATCTAAGAGGCATATTGATATTAACCCTTGATAAGTATCTTATGGTGGAGAGAAAAGAGCATTATGCTCAGACACCTGGATTTCAGTGTTGGTTCTGTTACTGACTATGTGAATTGGGTCAGGTCATTTACATTTTATGTTTTAGTATCTACCTATAATAAATGAATATAATATTGTTAATCTAAAGGCTGCCAGAAATTTTGAATGAATGTGAAAAAACTTAGAAACCAGAACAGGGTAATCTGTAAAAGTATAGCTTTATTATTATTCACCCTTTTAGCTATTACCCAAGAGCAAGTGGGGCACAAATGGAGAACATTTATGGCAGGGGATTCTAGGACTGTCACAGGGCAAACATCCAGCTCATACTAGACACAAGGCTGTCTACCAGATTGGCAATTATCATTTTATCTGGAATAATCTACACGAAGGTTCTGCTGCTATGTCTTGGACCAAGTCTTGTCTTGCTCCTCCAACTTGACTAAAGATGTTGCGAGTATCCATGTGGTGTCAGATGCCAGAGTCCTCAACATCAGGGCCAAGGAAGACAGAAATTTACACACTGTATCCAAAAAACATTCTTGCTACAGCAACAGCAAATTCTGTTCCACTAACAGGCTCAATGTGGGACAGGGAAATTTTCTCAATTTCCAATAAGTTAGGTTCTTGGACTTCCCAACAATTCCATTTGGAATCATTTTTTTTGGGGGGGGGGAATTGAGGAAACAAATTTTCTAAGTGAAACTATTTCATTCATCAAGTCCAGATGGAGAATTCTCAGCTTCTTTCCAGACTTTGGACCAGTAGAGAGCCCACAGCCTCAGCCCATTCTTGGTAGGTCTTGCCCACCTCATTTTCATTCTGCTTTTGGTAGAGGAAGGGGTGAGGTTGGCCACAGTCTAGTGAAGACTGGAAAGCTATAGGCTGTTCTTGACACATTAATTCAGTTGGGATCATGGGACAAACCTATTGTTATGGTTTTGATTTGGTGTCCCCTGAAAGCTCACATGTGAGACAGCGCAAGAAGGTTTGGAGGAGAAATGATTGAGTTATAGCCTTAACCTTACCAATGAGTTAATCCCTGGTGGGATTAACTAAAGTGGTAGGGTGTGGCTGGAGGAGGTGGGAATTAGGTTGTGGCTTTGGTGTATATATTTATATCGGGCGAGTGGAGTCTCTCTGCTTCTTAATCTCCATGATATAAGCTGCTTCCCACTGCCACACACTCCTCCATGATGTTCAGCCTCATCTTGGGCCCCAAGAAATGGAGCCAGCCTTCTATAGACTATGACCTCTGAAACTGTGAGCCCTCAAAGAAAGTTTTCCTTCTCTATGGTTGGTCTGGTCAGATCCTTTAGTCACAGCATCGAGAAAGCTGACTAAACCACCCATAGAATAAATATCATGTGGTCAGCCTTGGTTCAAAGGTTACTGCTGGGGAGAATCAAGATGCTGTGATCTCTAAGTGCAGTGGGTATGAACAAGCAGGTGGGCCTCTATGCCCTCCACCCTGGAACAGCTCTTTAACATGCTGGGAAATCACTTAGCAAGTTTGGAAAACTCTCGTATAGGACATAGTTACCAAGGAAGAGAAATGCACAATCTTAGGGAGGGCAGAAATGTTCTTTAGGGGCAGAAAAAGAAAAGGACAGTGGGGTCTCTAGACCCTGTGGATTCACAGTAGAAAATCATAAGCAGGTTTAGAAAGAATATTTCTCTTCTTCAGACCGCAGTTAATAATAGTACAGATCTTTTCTTCTCTCTGGAGATTGGCTTCCTGAAAAACAGGATAAGCATGATGAAACAGAGGATACCTGTGAGGTCAGATGAGCCCAGGTTTGAGTCCTCGACTCAGCACTGCCTAGCTGTGTGACCTTAGGCCAGTTACCAAGCTTATCTGAGTCCTACTGCCCTCATGTTAAATGGAGATATTAATAACAACTTCCTAAGATTCTGGTGAGAATTGAGTCAAATGTATATGAAGCTCCCAGCTGTCACATATATGTTCAATAAATCATTATTATTTTGTTTAAGGAAGCAGTGTCTCTAAATGTGATAGAGTTGATTTATTGTGTGGTCAAGCTGCACCTTAGCTTAGTGGGTAATATCAGGCACTTTGAAGTCAGAGAAAACTGCCACTTACTCACTGGGACAAGTTACTTAACCTCCTAAAACTTCAATTTTCCCATCTGTCAATGTGGATAAAAATAGAGCCTGTACTGTAGGTGGCAACTGGGTCTCTTTTATTCTTTCTTCCTTTTCTTTTTTGAATTTTTATTTAAACTGATTGATTGATAGATTATTTGATCAATGCTGAGGGCCTTCAGCATCAATGAGACAGGCCCTGTGCATGACAGGCATGCTCCACATGGCTTCTACCTCATAGGTACATGAGGGGGTTAAGTCCATATGGGAGGGACAGGAGAGACTCTGCCTTTCTTCTTTTGCAGCATATTTGTCTGGAGCCTCACATTGGAAATCTTTTGGAACTATAAAAATTCCTACTGAAAGGTTCATACAGGTCACTTCAAACTGAAGTTAATAAAAAATACATAAAGAGTACAATACAAGCCAATGTGACGGTGTCTCATGCCAGATCTACTCCCACAGGAATAGGGGAGCACAATTCATGCAGATAATAAGCTTCCAGTGGATCTTAGCATTAGGCAAGATTGGGAGACTGATGTCATGCTTAAGAGCACTGGTTTTGCTGGGGTTTGTGGTCAGTTTGCTTGGAGCTCTAGGAAACTCTCCCTCTCCCCTCCCTATTCCTTGCAGCCTCCCTCTGCCCAGAGCAATAGTGGTAGGCTGCTGACATAACCAAATACCCTTTCCCTGCTTTCTCTCAAATCCTCTTTGCAAGGGAAGATCATCCCCATACCCCTTTCCCAAGTAATATTGCTTTTTGTTCTTTTGCTTGCTTTCTGAGCTTTCTGCACTCCTCTTCCTTTATGCTAGAACAGTGTCCTAGCTACAGATGGATAGTAAACCCATGTAGAGTGAATTAGTCTCACCAGTAACTAATTTTTACTATTATGCAATATATTTAAATTGGAATTGCTTTGAGGATTGTATGACACTGTGAGAGCAAAGAGATAATATTACACCTGTCACTTGCTTCTACGTAATCTAAAGGCAAGTCTTTTCACCTCTTTGAGACTCAGTTTTCTCATCTATTAAATGGAGATATTCATTCATTCAACCATTATTTACTGAATATCGGTTGTGTGATTTACCTAGGATATACTCATATACATATCACAAGTTTGTAGTGGAAACTAAGCAGGATGAGGTGTGTGGTATCTGGCTCACAGTCAACACCCAAAAAATGTTGTTCTTTGGGGCCTATGAACAATGGAATGCATCATTACATTATCAGCAATTTCACAACTTCTAATAAAATAATATAGGAACTATTAACAAGTACTTAGGAGATATCACAATCCTGACTTTCATAAATTAGATATCATTCCCTTGGGCCTGGACTCAGCTATGAGCCTTCCATCTAGCCCTTAATGTATCTCCTCATCTGGGCACGGCCAGTTAACCACTGAGGTTGATAGGTTGATTTGTTTTATATAACAGCCTGAAACACATGAAGTTTTACTATTTGGGTAGGGATTTTCTTGCTATTTCCTTTTTAAATATTCTTTTATTGTTTCTAGCATTCGTTCACTCATTCATTCATTCAGCAAATACATATGGACTTTTGTGTCAAGCATTCCTGCAGGTATTGGGGATATGACAGTTCACCCCTCAAAGTCTCAGTCCTCGTTAAACTGACATTGAAGTGGAGTATGATATATCACCCTCAACCCCTCTTCACACTAAACTGTAAAATGCCTGAAACCAGGGCTTTGATGGTGCTTCTTCCTGTTGGTCCTCCCTGAAACACATAGCATAGAACATAGTTTGGAATACCAGGATGCCTTCCAAAAAGCCTACACATTTTGATGGCTTACTATGTGCCAGACCTTATTCTAAGCATTTTCATAGACTATTCCATTTAATGCTCATAGAAACTTCATGAGGTAAGCAATAATTTGATGCCTATTTTCCAAATATGATAACTGAGGCATAGGGAGCTTAATAAATGTGACTGAGTTCCTGAGGCTAAAGAAGTAATGAAGCTGGAATTTGAACCCTAAACCTAGATCATGCAGATCCTCTCCTCATTCCACCCAGATTGTCCTCATTTTGAAGTTCCTATGGATTTCATTTTCAAATTGAGTGTGGAACCCAGAGTCTTTGTCTTGGGCCTGAGTCACATTTTCCTGATCACAGAGTCCTGGGGTGCCCCTATGTGCTAAGCTGAAAGCCAAACATCTGGGACAAAGCTAGCTAATCCTCATGGATTTGTTCATTATTGTGAGTCACCTTGGTTACCTCAGGTAAGTTGGGCTCTGAAAAAAAGGACTCAATAAAATTGCTTCTCTAGCAAAATGAGAAAATATACAAGAAATTTGACAAGATCTGAAGTACTTGGGTTCGTTGAAACTACAATGAAACGAATTCTATCCATCGAAATCCCAAATAATAGAAATAAGACTCCCGTCAGCTGCTAGAGGCCCTAATGTTGATAATATAATCTCCTCAAATTTGTTCTCAGGATACAGAACCCAGCTATCAAAGGCTGAACTGGATACCTACTTTCATTTGCAAGGTTGGGACTGGCAGGTCCATGACTCGGGGAGACATATATTTTCTTACCTGAAAAAAAAAATAAAAAATCATGATTAACCATGAAATCTCCAGGGCTGGGTTAAAAACTGCCCAGCAGCTACCCAGGGGCACCAGATTGTCTCTCAGTGTATGGACATCTGGGCTATTTTCTCCTAATAGATACTAAAAATCAAAGGAGCTTGTTTTCTTAAGGCCCCTTAGAACTTGTTCCCATCTTACAGTGTTCCTAATTAAAGGTCACTTTCTCAACAGTTCCTGGTCAGTCACCAATGAATATGACTGATTGTCAATATTAGTAGGAATGTGTGAAGATCTCACAACAGTTGAGACATTGATGATAAACCTTTGTTCATGAATTTTTGTCTAGAGGTTTCAGGAATAGGATAATGCCTGTATTATCAGTTTGTTTGCCAGGATGTGCCTGGCTTATAGTATAGGCTCACTAAATATTTGCTGAATTGGATCTGAAGTGTATATAGTTATTATGTTTGAAAGATGATGATTTGAGCCATGCGTGTTCTAACCAACTGTTGAATAAGGGCTCTGCTATGTGTATGCACAGGCATATATACAAACACAGTTGGTCTGACTTTCCCTCTGAATCCAGGAGGAGAATATTTTGCAAAAGAGTATAGGGTGGGAATTTTCACTGGTATCCCAAGCATGACATTTTTATGATTTACTCTCTGCATGCATTGCTAATCAAACTTTACAAATGACACAATGGTATTTTAACAGGACATTTGTTGTGAAATATTAAGATGGAACACAGTCCTGAACTTAGGCAGGCCATGCTAAACAGGCCCTTTGTGTACTATATCTTTAGTTCACAGTAAAAACTGCTTCCAGTAATTTCTCTCAGGCATAGAACCATAGATATGTACAGACCAGAGAATTGCAAAAGAAAATTACTCCAGAGAACAGAATGCAGACTTGGTCACATGAATGTAATATATATATATATATATATATATA